AATTTTCAGATGAAGATATACAAATGGCAAATACATGAAGAAATGTTCACTGGTCATTCGAGAAATGCAAATTAAAACAGCACTGGGATTTCATCTCACTCTGGAAAGAATGGCTGCCATCAAGAAATCAACTGATAACAAATGTTGGCGAGGCTGCGGGGGGGGGGGGGGCACACCTCCACTGTTGGTGGGAGTGTAGAATGGTGCAGCCACTATGGAAAGCACTATGGAGATTTCTCAGAAGACTAGGATTGGTTCCATTCAATCCGGCTATTCCCTTCCTGGGCATTTTCCCAGAAAACCTGAAAATGTCCTGTCACAGTGATGTATGTGCACCCATGTTCATAGCAGCACAATAGCTACATCTTGGAAACAACCAAAATGCCCATGTATTAGGGTTTTACTAGGGAAAACAGAAATAACATGAGATATACAGATGTATAAGAAACGACAAGATTGGCTTACGATGGTCAGCCACAGAGTCAGATGTGTGCAGAGGGTGTCTATGCACTGGAGCTGAGGGATTCAATCCAAGGTCTGGAGTTCACCGTAGTGTCTTGTACAAGTCCACACCTGCAGGCTGATGGGTCTGCGACAAAGGCTGAAGGCTCTACGATGTAAGGCTGGAGAGCCTACACTGAAAGCCAGGAGATGAGCTCCAAACCAGTCTTCTATACCCTTGAGTATAGAGTTGCTAAACCAATTCAGTTAAGCTTCTAAATGTCTTAAATTGACACAATCAACCACTACATCCATCGATCACAGAGAAAAACCACAGATAAAAAAGATGTATTTTTATACAATGGAATATTATGCAGCTATAAAAAGGATGATCATCTTGAGGTAAATGAAGGCAATCTGAGACTATCCTCATGAAATAAATCACTCACATTTGTAAATGTCTCTAGAATAAAAATCTGAAAGTAATAAAATCCAAAATGTGTAAGATTGTAATAATGAAAGGGAAAGTGCTCTAAAGAATATAACTGTATATGTTGAAGTGAGCAAGACAGATTACCATACTAAGTTGTTAGTTCATCAAGCTGAATAGCTTGCACTGTCATTGTTCGATTGTCCATTTTTATGCTTTGATTTTGTAACATGAACAACTACTTCTAAGATAACAGTATGTAATTTATCAGCTAGTGATTCTTTACTGTTAATTTTTTTGATTAGCCATTTGTTATTTTTTTGAAATTTTGTATTATTTCTACCCTTTGTCAGTTTTGCTTTTCTTCTCTAAATTAAAAAAAATATTAGGGAGAAGAGATACTTCTGTGTTCATGGGCTAGGGGTGTAGCTCATTGCTGAAGTATTTGCCTTGCATATGCAAGGCCCAGGTATAATCCCCAGTAGTGTGCACATGCACGCATATTAAAAATTAAAAACTTACATGACCATTGTATTTCAAACAGGAACCCAGGCATAGTTCATAGCACTGAAAGGAGGGACATATAGTGACCTTAACAGGAGACCAAACGACCTACCCAGCAAAGGATGCATGCTGATGACTTCAATCTTAGCACTGATACCTGACCTACCAGCTGACAGTGCTGGTGGGGGAGGGGCTATAGGCGGAAGCCATCTGGAGAGGAAAAGGTGAGTTTTCTCCTTAAAAATACAGTGTTGTGGCTGTGTCTTACAAAATTTGTATATTAAGGCTGTAATGCCCAGTATCTCAAGAGTCTGACCAAATTGAAGATCTTTAAAGGCTGTAATTAAATGAATGGTTAGGACAACGGGGTTGATTCAGTAAGAGGCGGCAGGTTGGAAACAAACTGCCACTACAGCAGTGATGGCGAACTTTTTAGTGCTTTAGTGATACAAAGAGCCCATGCTGTAAGTTTGCTACCACTGCACTATCCATACAGGTGTACAGCGGGCAGCCATCTGAAAGCAAGAGGCGTCTGTGACAGTCTTCCTCCCACCGGTCCCACCCATACCTCATCTTGAATTTTTAGAACTCCAGAATCGTAAGAGTGGAGATTGCTGCTGTTTTAAACCACCTGGATTGTAGTGGTACAGCACCCTGTTAAGCTTTAGCTCTCCATAAGTCTTACGTATCCAGAAGGTGCCTGGGTCAGAGAGACCCTGTACACATCAGGATGACTTCACAGGGACTTCCTGTAGGAGGTGGGTGTGTCTGTGTCTTCCGCCCTGGCCCCCATGCACCGTGCACAGCTGTCCTCCACGATTCTCCCACTGCCTGTTTCTGCCTTGCGGCCAGCCAGACTGTGACCATGATGTAAAATAAACCTCTCTTCTTATAAGTCGTGGGTGTTTTGTCCCAGCAGTGAAAAAAGCGACTGTGGCGCAGCCTTAGCAAGCCAGTGTATGCGGTAGTGGGCAGTGTTCTAGCTGGAGGAATGTGGCCCTACTGTAAACAGCAGTAACCCCATGTGTTTCTCTGCATTATTCAGCAACTGGGTGGTTTCAAACAAAGGCAAATGGTAGAGATCATTCAGGGGACTTCAAATGAATACATCGAAGAGAAAGCCACAGTCACTGAAGCTAACTGCACTATCCTAACTAACCCTTCAAGCACCCTCCATCTGAACACCCACAGTAGAAAATCAGGAGTCATTTGAATGCTCACCACTTGGGTTATTTTTTTTTTTTTTAAAGCCAGTCAAATTTAGCAGTGGGTGGGGTGGTATACCATCCATTACTTCTACAACCTCTTGACCCCTTCAACTCCAACCATGAGTTAAGCGCTGGCGGGGTCACTGCAGTAGCCACCTCGTCCGTTTTCACTCTCCCTCCACCATACTTTTTTTTTTGGTACAGGCAGTTGAACTTGCGACCTCAGGCTTGCAAGACAGGCACTGTTCCACTGAGCTACATCCCTGGTCCTTCCATCATATTTTTCTTTTTTTTTTAACTTTTTTTTTCTTTTTATTGGTACGGGGGATCGAACTCATGACCACCTGCTTGCAAGGCAGGTGCTTATGCCGCTGAGCTAAACCCCCAGCCCCTTCCATCATATTTTTCATTATTTCATTTCAGTAGTTCCTCACACCTACAAGCTAGAAGCCAAATTTCTGTCATGAAAGACTTCTCATGGCTGGTTGGTTGGTTGGTTGGTTGGTTTTTTGGTACTGGGGAGCAAATGCTCAACCTTGAGTTTGTTAAGCAGGCACTTACACTGCTGAGTAAATCCGGAGCCCCAACCTTTCATGTTTTGTCCCGGCTTTTTCTGCCTCTTCTAGTGTTTCTCTTCCCCACCCACAAGAATACACATGCTCTTTGATTTACCATGGGATCTATCCAGTAAACTCATCAAGAAAACACTCAAAATTCAAAACCAGAAGTAATCTCTACTGTGCATAGGTTTGGCACCATCATAAAACTTGAACTATTAAGTCAAACCATCCTAGGTCTGAGACTATTTTTCACATGTATGATTATGAAAAGCTGAGTGGCAATGAGCCTTTGCTTGATGGTAAAAAAGATTAATAACTCTGAATATGATAGTGATTTCTCAAGGACAAACGTCAAAGCGTTTCAGAAGCACTGTCTTGGCTAGAGTACAACTACAATTGTTTACTCTTAGTACTTAGTGTCTACATCTGTAGGTAAACTTAGTCCTGAATTCTCCTTTTGCTCCTTCTTAGCTGTATGGACCTGGGAGTTTCAGTTTTATATCTATACATTGGGACACTTATCTCAGAAGATTGTTTTTAAAATTATAAAAATGCTTGTTGGATGGAAGTGGTGGCATATGCCAGTAAGCCCAGCACTAGGGAGGCAGAGACTGCCATGAGCATGAGGTCAGCCTGGGTTACAAGGAACTACCCTCTCTCAGGAAAAAAAAAAAGCCCAAGTTATCACCTATCTCTTTAGAACCAAGAGTTTATTCTGCTTCTCAGTGTCTTCTAAGATTCAAGCCAACCATGATAATTTCTCAAACTTCAAAAAGGTTTCTGACCAATATACAAATAAAACAGAAGTGCCAGTTGTGGTGTAAGCTGCTTGAGCTATCACTGTTTCTAGGCATAAAAAGATAAGTTCAGTTCAGGATAGCAGACTGCCCCTTTGCACACTTCTGTGAGTGGTGAAGAGTATTTGAGTATATAACAATATGAAATATTAATAGCTCAGTGTAAACATTTAACTATGACATGCCTAAGTCCTGTGTTAAGTGCAATGTATAAGAAAAAAATCAGTGTCTCCACCATAGCCCCCACACACTAATTGTAGCTATTAAACTTGGAAATTGCTAAGTAGCAAAGTCTAGTATTTCTGATTGAGATCTGGAAAATGAAATGGGCACTCATACTTGGAGTCTGTACTTTCTGGAAAGCCATTTGACATCAGGATATTTAAATGTCACAGTTTGTGGCTCTAAATTCCATTTATTTATAATCTCAAGACCTGTCCAAAATCTATAGCATGAAGATTATTTTACTAAGTAATGGAACTTTTTTTCTTTTATTTGCTTTGTGAATTTTCTATTACCTGATCCCGGCATGGAGGTGTATGGTTACTGTTCCAGCACTTGGGAGGCTGAGGCAGGGGGATCCCACAGGTTTAAGGCCACCCTGGACACATAGTGAGTTACAAGCCAACCTGAACTAGTGACAGCCTGTCTCAAAAACAAACGAAAAATCATTTCCTATTAAATGTATGTATAGCATTTAAAAATTTTTCTGCTTTGGGTAAGTATTCTCTCTATAAAGTTTATGTTAACAATTCTAGTAACTTTTTATTTCGCTTAAATGTCCACTTTAGTAGTCAGATCCCAAGAAATGCTATTTTTAACAGTATGCTGAACTGGAAAAGCTTGTATTTTTATTTACGTTTAGGCAATTTTTTTTTTTTTTTTGTCTTTTTCCTTTTTATCGGTACCGGGGATCGAACTCACGACTGCCTGCTTGCAAGGCAGGCGCTTATGCAGCTAAGCTAAATCCCCAGCCCCTAGGCAATTATTTTTGCAAAATACTACTGCACGATACAGCTCCCATCAAGGACCTCATACTTAAGCAAAGACCCAGAATCGGTTTCATTGCAAGTTTCATTCAAGACACCTTTATATCATTTATACCTCCAGGAAATCCCTGATATCTTAATCAAGCTGCAGACATACGAAACCCAACAAATCACTGCTCACGCGCTCCACTGTCCCAGACAGTCTACACACAGGTACCCTATGAGGACTGCTTGTTTCAGTAAAACATAGTCTAAATATTCACAACTTCACAGATACTTGAGAGTTCCGGGGCCAGCTGTCTATCCAGGCGAAGGGCGAGGCTCGGGGTCAGGCCCACTTGCGGGTGACGTTGAGATGCTCGAGCTGGTCCGCTGCGAACCTATGCGGGGGGAACTTGGCCGCACGGGCCGCCTTGATGGCTTCGAAGGCCCGCGCCCTGCGCTCGGCGGCGTGGCCGTGCTCCTGCTCGGCGGTCATGTACGGCATGCTCAGCCAGTAGTGGTTCTCCGCCTCCACCTCGAGGCGGCGGATCATGTTCCGCTTCGCCTGCTCAGAAACGAACCGCGGCCGCCGGTGCTTCCCGATCCACTGTCGGCCTGGGATGTGACCGCGGCAGAGGACGGCGGTGAGGAACATGGCTCCTGCCAGGAAGAGCACACAGGGCCGAGCTGCAGCGCGCAGGCCCGGCCCTCCCCTCGCGCGACGCCATCCCGCACCCAGACCTCAAACTACCGCCCTCGAAGAACCCCGCAACTCACCGGCCGCGCGCGCTGCACCCAGGCACTGGACAACCCACTAGCACAATGGCGGAAGCGCGTGCCTATGACTTCGCGCGATACCTCGCGCCCGCGAGAGCGGTCCTCTGCGCCTGCGCAGAACCAGTCGTTTCCGGCTCCGACACATTCAAACGAGGAGCGGGGAGTTCGGAAGCGCCACCCCTGGCAGTAGCTCGGTTGCCTTCAGCTATGGACCCTATCCGGGCCTTCTGTGGGAAGCTGCGGTGTCTGGCCGGCACGTTGGACTGCGAGACGGCCCGGCTGCAGCGAGCGCTGAACGGAGAGGACAGCGGTGAGTGGGGCCCAACGCGCTTGGGCTGACTGCGCTTTTCTGCTTGCTGGGCAAGGCCTGGCCCCTTGATCTACATGACAGAAGAGAGAGAACCAACCAAGCCCTGCCTCTGTTTATGGTCCGTAAAGGGAAGGCTTTGTATTGCTTCAACTTATAGAGGGGGCCAGTTAGGCTTTAATCCTTCTATCTGGTTGCCCACAGGCTGACTGTTTTACCTCCTGCCCTGCTTGCTACTTCCTTTCTGCTACTTTAATTCTTTGAATTTTTCACTTCAGGTGGTGTGATTTTTGCTTCCAAAATATTCCTTGTGTTATTTGTCAGGGTCTCTACTTCTCTTCAAACATGAGGTCCTACCTTCCCTTCAAGAGCTCAAACTCATTCCTGTCACCTGCCATAAGTCTGGGCCCATCACTTTCCCACTCTCCGTGGACACCTTTCTTTCTTCCTGGGGACCTTTTCCTGTCCCTTTGCCTGACTTGCCAGCCTAGATTGTACCTGGACCTCGTGGTTGTGTTGACAAAACTGGTTTTCTTCTCTAGAATAGTAAATTTGTTCTTGTACATCAGCTAGACTTCAGAGATTCAAATGTTATTTAAAGGCAGCTCTCTATGGTGCTTAGCTTTGGGAGTGCTCCGCACCAAGCCCTCGGGTTAAAATACTACAGTCATTTTTCTCTGAAACACTAGCAAAAGAGACTGCCGTCATCTAGAGCACTGTGGCAGTGCGAACCAAGCATGAGATTTACTATCCTTTTGAATGAGAACAGTGAGTGTTTCTATTTTCTTGAATCAGTTGGTCCCCTTAATGTTCACTCAGTTCTTCCATTGGGTCCTATTCCTTACTTGGCTTCATTTTTGTGATTCTTTTTATTTGCAGTGATATTTTGTGGTAGGTAATTATGATAAACTTAAGTGGTCATAACTTATTTTCTAGAAAACTGGAAATACCAGCTTTAACATACATATACAGAGGCATATGTGTAATCTGGGCATACGATTCAAAGTGAAATTGCATCAAAACAAAGAGAAACTATTAATGTCCATTTTAAAAAGTATGAAACAGTAATGAAAATATTCAAAATGGAGTGGCAATTTTCTTCTAATTCAGCTATTTCTTTCATAATAATTTCTTATTGGCTGTTTAAAGGTAGTTAACTTTGTTTATTTGTATCTACCTCATGGTGGAAATGTTATACCATAATAGCTTTTATGCTCAAGCATTGAATTTTGACAGCAGAATATTCACTTAATTACTTGGAGTGGGGTTTGTGCTTAATCTGAGTTTGAAAGTAAAATCAGAAGATGCCAAACTAGAGGGGCCTGGTGGTGCATGCCTATAATTCCAGCACTTGAAGTGTGACACTGGAGGATCACTGCAATTTCAAAGCCAGCCTGAACTACAGAACGAGACCCCATCTTTAAAAAAAGAAAGCCAAGCAGGCATCTGCTCTGAGTTCTGAGCTGTTGGCCCTCTGCAAGATGACTATCAGCAAATCGCCCACTCCTGAGGGATGTCTGAACATGAGTGACACACAGCCACCGCAGTCCACTGTGTCCATGTCTGTTCCACTGGAATCAGTGACCTTTAAGGTTGTGGCTATGAATTTCACCCTGGATGAGTGGAATTTGTTGAATCCTCAAAAGCAGCTCTATAACAATGTAATATGGGAAGTCTTCAGGAACTTGGTCCTCATGGACATAATGGTAGACCCAAATATTGAAGATGTGTGCATAAATCTCTGGAGAAATCTAAGCATACAGAAACTGGCTGCACATCTGAGTAGCTATGCTGGAGGAATAACAGAAGTGATGTTTGTTCACCCACTTGGTGGACACACAGCAAGGTGTATGTACGCACATGCCTCAAAGTAGCAACAGAATTAGCCCAGTTCAGTACAGTGTCACATGAAAATCAACTTTCTACAACTTTGGGAGAGGTTGAAATTTTCAGGTGACTTAGTTACTGATAATGACTTGGATCATGTAAGCTAAAGTTGTGACAATGAGATAGGGCAAGATGTGACAGAAAAATACAGAATAAAGACCTTGATTCAGATGAAGAAAACAAGTATTTGACTAGTTGAAATGCTACAAAATGGTCATATATACCTGAACAATCCAACATTAGAGCTAGGTTGCAAAATGTTACTAGGTTTTTGTCAGATGTGAAATCTGTTGGAAGGCCAACAGTGCAGTTCGGTGTGGGAAATGGTAATGGATAATATGCTGCAGAATGTTGTGGAATAGACTGATAGTGAAATTCAAGTGCACCAGTAGCAATGCTCAAAAATATGTTTATCATGACACCTCACTGTCTGGACTAAAAACCTTCCTAGGTCCATTATATGTAGCTAGATTATATCATTCTAATCCTAAGGCTCTAAAGGATTTAAAGAGAATTGATGGATGTGTGTTGAGGTTTTTAGAACAACAGTGAGATTTGGTTTCCTTTAAAACTACCTACATTTTGATGACACAAAAGACTCACCAACAAAGAAAAAAATTCCAGCAGTTTAACTGCTGACAGTTTTCTTTGAAAGTGTCACAATTTATACACCACCCAAATACTGGACAGTTGACAAACAACTTGGATCAACTCATGGTCATTTTAGCTTTCAGCAATATATACCAAATAATCCTTCCACACACTGTGTCTAATATGTGTCCTGGGAGATATGAAGAATTTGGTACCTTCAGTTTAGAAATTTATGCTGGAACTCAGTTACCAGGTCTTTATTTGTGAAGTAATAAATCGTAGGATATTGTAAAATTACTTGTAGCCCTTTTGAAAAGTAACTCAAATCTCTTATTTGGTAATTGGTTCACTAGTTACCCATTGATGCTACATTTGCTAAAAGAACACAGTTGACCAGCACAGGAACTATTCACTAAACAAAATGGATATTCCTGCAAGTTAACAATAGAGAAATGTATAGTACAATCTTTGGATTTCAGAAAGCTATACAGGAAAAAAAAAAGACCTAACATTGATGAAGAAAAAGTGGTATTGATTCTGTCAGCATTACACCATGATGGTAAGATTGATAGTGAATCCTCAGCACAAAGGAAGCCAGAAATGATCACAGTTTACTACAACAAAACAAAATGCAAAGTAGTTGTTCATAAATTATGCAGCAATTGTGATGTCACTTGAAACACAAGGCCATTGTGTTTTACTGGATCCTAAATGTGTTCAAAGAAAATAGCAAGCTCAGAATATCACAGAGAAGTTTTCTTAGAGTTTTGGGACAGAATTAATAAAAAGGTCAATTTCAACAGAGGAAAAACAGTATGTGTCTGCCCAAAGAAGTCCACAAAAGAATTGTGAGCAGACCGATGAATAGACAGGGGAAACATCACAAGAACCTCATGAGAAAACAGAAAGACCAGCAAGATGTCAAGTGTGTCCTACAAAAGAAGACAGGAAAACAAAACACATGTGCTGTCACGGTGATACTTGTGTACAGAACATGCTGTTTCCGTGTGTGAAGACTGCCCTAGGTGTCATAATTGGAGTAAAGATTATTTTGCTGTTTTATTTTTAATTTTCATTTTAGTTTATATAAGAATATTTCCATGGGTTTTTTTTTTTAGATTTTGTAAACAGAAAACAATTGTTGAAAATGTTGATGTTGATAATAAACATGTAGTACATATTAAAGTGTAATACTTTATTTCATTGATATTTTATTTTTCTGTTAAGTACACATTGTGGAATAGAAGAACCTCCTAATAAGTCAGCATTACCAGTTAGATGTCAGGTATGTCCACACTGGAAGTGATACTTGTGTAAGGAACATGCTGTTGTCACATGTGAAGACTAGGTGTCATAATTGAAGTGAAGATTATTTTTGTTGTAGAGTTTCTTTGTATTTGCATTGTAGCTCATACAGGAATTTATTTGTTTTTAATTTTTAGATATTGTAAACAGTTGATGTTGAAAATGTTCATGTTCATTATGAATACTTAATAAATATTTTAAAAATCTAAAAAAAGAAAATATCAAGCATGTCCTTTGTAAGAAAACATAAGCTGAGGAAGGAAGCTGTGCTCCCACCTGTGAGCCAGCCAAGGCACATACTGGGGAGACCCAGGAAGGAAGCTACACCCCCACCCTATCACTATTCCCACCCCTACTCCCACCCCTGTGAGCAGCTGATTCAGAGGAACTGTATTGTTTGATTACAAGCAGAAAGTGGGTAGCCTGAGCAACTATTTAAAGTTCCATAACAACATGCAGTATAAAAACTATTATAGATTGCTTACTGTCTTATCACTGTTTTGTTTCGCTTTATTGTTTTACTCCCTTTAGAATAAAAATGTTAAAAAAAAGAGCCCTAAGCTTTCTGTCTTATTACCGTGTTAACTCAAGTGAAGTAGGTGTGTTTAACTTCTATCTTGAATTAACAATGTTGACAGTAGATATCAGGGTCTCAGCTTGATGTAAACAAGCAGTTACCTGGCAGATTTTTTTAAAATGGCTTTAATTCATAACAAACATAGCTTCACTTTAGTATTTATTTTTTTCCAGTCAATAATATTTGATTAAGGAAATAGTTGTTTTCCATATGAATTTCTAGGGCCTGTGAGTGCTGGATTTTCTTTGTTTTTCTCATCCATGGCAATGGGAAAACAAAAATCGCCCAAAATATTTCTCATGTCAAGTACAGGTTCACCTATTAACTTTTCTTCCAGGGAGTTGCCACACCTCATAGTTGAAAGTGTATTCTCTGCATCAGTACATTCATACTAACATGTAATTGCACTGTTCTGTGCAGCAAAGATAATCCCGAAGATAAATGATGTGCAATTTATTCATCTTTGCATGGACAGTTGCTCATGGTACTCTGTTTTTAATGTTTGTACTTGGGTAAACATGTAACAGTGCAAGATGCCGCTAGCTTCAGCACAAAGTATTAAAATTATTTTCTGAATAAAGAAATTGTTTTTAGTATCAGCAAATTGATAAAAAAAAAAAAGGGCAGACAAATACCATTGCAAAATGCAAACCTTGCATTGATACCTCAATATCTTCAGCTGGCCATTAAATGTATGAAAAAGTTAACTCTATTAGTCATCAAGGAAACAAAAATTAAATCCTAACTTGTATATATCCCAGTATAACAAATGAAACAGGAGGAAATACCATATTCTTGTAAAGATGTGGAACAAAGAGAACTTGCATGCACTGGATGGGAATGTAAATTGTAAAACACCTAGGTTGAGAAACTTATTTGGCAGGATCTACTAAAATGCTAGCACTCAAGAGGCAGAAGGATTGCAAGAATTCAAAGTTGTCTGGAGTACATAGTAAGTTCAAAGCCAGCCTGAATTACATACTGAAACACTGCTGCAAACAAACAAAAGAATCCTGAATATATTTATAACATAGAACTCAGCAGTTTTTCTAGGACCCTAGTGTACAAAAATTAATACATTCTCCCTGAGGACATGTTGTAGAAAGTGAAGTGCAAGAGTGTAACAGTTCCAGACTAGACGCACTCCAGAGTTCATGGGCAGTAAAACATTGGATCTGCAGCAGAACACTGCACGGCGGCGCAAGCATGGATGGATGAAGTTGTGGAGGAGTATCATGAGAATGCAGAGGGAAAAGGCGAGTCAGGAAAGTGTGCATAGTATGAGTTCATTCAATGAAATTTACAACCCCGTAAAACTGTTTCGTGGTTTTAGAAATAAGAATGATTATCCTGTGGGAGAAAAGCGAGATAAGAGAGGGCATGTAAAACTAGTTTTTGGTTGGCTTTTTCTTTTTTTCTTTTTGAGATAGTCTCACATTTTCAGGCTGGTCTCAAATTCTGGTAATCTCTCCCTCCCCTGTCTTGTGTCCTTCCCTCATTTCTAGAGCTGAGGGTTGGTTATGCAGGTAGGTTCTCTTTTTTCTTTCCTCCTGTTCTGTGTTCATTTTGTAAAGTTCATTAAACTATATATTGATTAGTGTGCTTTTATTGTTACACTTCAGTAAAGATTTTAAAGATACCCTTAAACTTTTTTAGTAATTGAACAGATGAATTATAAAAGTATCTACAAAAGCTTTGTAATTTTAAAAAACTGTATCAAATTTTCTATTTTCTTTCTCCTTCTTGTTTCTTATGTTCACTGGATTTTTTCCTTACACATGCGTATTGAAGACTTTGAAGATTTTCCAGTGAGGATTTTACATGATCTTCATTCAGAAGTCTGTGCTCTGAAGGTACCAGTCCTACAATTCTAGCCTAAGTAAATCTAATCAGAAGTTAGAGAAATTATAGGTGGGTGTAGAATGCTTGCCTCGCATGTGAAAGGCCATCAGTTTGGTGCCTAGCACCATAAAAAAAGAAAAGAAATTAGAGAAATTATAATGTATTTTCTTTCTTCATAAAAGGATGATGTTAATATCCTTCATGATAAAGCAAGATTGGAAAGTCAAGAAAGCATTGGTTTTATTAAGGCAACAAAAGAATCGATGAAACAAAATAAAACATTTATCATGAAAATAAGAGAGTTTTTCCAGATGTATGGATACAATCCACGTGTCAAGGAAGATTCAGGTTTGACTTTCGTTTTGTAGCGTGTGGGTTGGGATTGGAGCAGGCAGCCTGAGCCCCTATGAGTGTGGCCCAGTGTGCAGTCTGGGCTGCTGGGGTGACACTTTCCTCAGCAGTCAGCGTGCTGGGTGCAGCCCCTGCTGTCCCTCCCTAGCTGAGGACTTTAGTATTTATCCTTCTAGTGTGACCTTGGAGCTGGGTATGTTAAACACTGCAGTATGTGCTCATGATTTAGGGTAGGCACTTAGGCACTTCTCCGCTCTGCTAGTAGATAGCTGAGAAGCTAAAGTACTGTTTTATTTTTCTTGTTGAGGTTCCTCTTCCACAGAATGAGAAGTTTTGGCTGTATAAGTTGATAAAGCTTTTCTAGTTTTAAAATGTTATGAAGGCCAGTATAACATGGTGGCTCAGGATTAGGAGCCCCAATAGCATGGGCTTGAATCTGTTTTACCACCTATGTGCCTTGCTATCTTTAGCAAGTTACCTACCCTTGGGCCACGACTGGGTTTGCTGCATTTGTAAACACTTATGCATCTGCTCCCTGGGGCTGTGGAGGTGACTTAGGCTGAGGACTCCTGGCTTGTCACTTACCTGACAGGAAGCACAGGGTGCTGTTTGCCACACCCCTGAGTGGCTGGCTTCAGTGCCTTCGTGTTTATCAGGAAAATGACCTTCGTAATAGAGAAGACATGAAGTAAATTCAACCATTCTTTGTCGAGGGTGTGTGTGGAAGGTTTCTTAAATAGTCTCCAAGAAATAAAAGGAACAATTCAGTTGTTTTTGCTGTGAAAGAGTCATTGATTCAGACACTGGTTCTCTAGGCTATATGTGGCCTGAGAAAATTTCTCTGTTACTTTTTCTTCACTTGTCGAGTGGGTATAGTGATACCTCCCTATTGAGTAGTGAGGGTGATGATCTCATTTGATCTTGTCAGTGGGAGAATACTTACATAGCATGTGTGAGACCCTTCGCTAAATCCCCAGCACCTCCAAAAACAGCAGCAAGAGTGTGATGAATGACAGCCCCACAACCCTGTGGGAAGCCAGCAGGTATTTGGCAACTCAGACAGGCTTCCTCAGAGTTAACAAATGAGGTCACTGTAAGTCAGGAGCTCTTTCATGGCCACAAGCCACAAAATCAAAGTGCAAACTAATTCATGGTTGAGAAAGTACATGGTCTTTCTGATATTCTCCTATTGTTTTCTCAAATAAGTTTTTGATGTGCTCCATACTGACATCACAGTAGTTTTTCATTTTTATCTTAACCATCTAGAAATTACATGTTAAATCTAGAAGAGTATTCCATACGTCATTAGTTCTACCTAATTAACAACAGAGTATTTTCCAAAAATATTAAGACTGGTAAATCATATTGAGGAAGTAGAAAAGTTGGACTTTACAAATACTTATTTTTCTTCTTTTGAGTTTTTGAGACGGGGACTTGCTGTGTAGTGTAAGCTGGCCTTGAACTCACTTTTTAGCCCAGGCTAGCCTCAGACTCAGAGCAGCCCTCCTGCCTCAGCTCCCCAACCATTAGGATCATAGGCATGTGCCACTATGCCTGGATGATTGTGCATTTTCTAACACTTTAGTTTGCTTTCCTTCTCTAATATATAATCAAAATGAAATACAGGGCCTTGGTTCCTGAGCTACACCTGCAGTTTCAGTTAGTTGGAAAGCTGAGACAAGAAGGATTGCTTGAGTCCACGAATTGAAGGCTAGCCTGGGCAGTGAGGTGAGACTTCCACCTCCAAAGAAACAGAACAACAAAAACTGGAATATGAGTAGACAAGAGATGCATATACTGAAGAGACACTTGAAATAAAAGTTTTATAGAAAATCAGATTTTTTGCTGATTGGGAAATTTTGGAAAGAGCAAACTTGCTTAATAAGTGAGATTTTCTGTTTTGAGGTTTGACCAAAACATTACCTCTTTGATTTTCCTCCTAGTTTCTGAACAGGAAATCTCTGCCAGTACCATAGACACGGCCAGCTGTGACAACATTCCAGAGGCTGGCGCGAAGGATGACCCGTCTGACCCACCTGATCCGCCCGTCCTGGCTGGTTCTATTTCTGAGGAGCCTCTACGGAGCCCGCAGCTTGCAGATTTTGGACTAGAGCGGTATATGATACCGCAAGCTGTAAGTGACCACCCAGAAGCGCCCATAGCTGACACTCCTCCACCTGCCAGGCAGTCAGAAGTGAAGATACCAAAAACTCCAAAATGTACTCTCAAGATGGATGACTTTGTGTGTGTAACTCCTAAGTTAGAGCACTTTGGCATCTCGGAGTATACCATGTGTCTAAACGAAGACTACACAATGGGACTTAAAGACATGAAGACTGTCACAAGGTGAGTGGCTTTGTTAGAGGGTACATTTTATCTGACTTCCTGCATCTTTTCCTTTGATTTTTGTCAGAGAAGTGATGTTTCAGATAGTTTTTTTCAAAAAGTGTTCAGATAAGTTTTAAACTTCCATGATTCAGTTATTAAATTGTGAGGTACTGAGTGCCTCATGTGAGGAAAGTGATTAAGGCCTAAAAAAATAGCACTTATAGAGACAAAGAAGAGATGAAATTAGTTGCTTTGATACGAAGACAGGAAGAAGTATCTGGAAAAATCCAATTTCTGTTTTGTTATTTGGGAGGGTTCAAAGGTATAGGAATACCTACAGTTGAGCAGAAAAATGTACGTGTAGATTTTGAAGTACCTGAAGGTTTTTTTTGTTTTTTGTTTTTTTTTTTTTTGGTACTGGGATTGAACTCACAACACTGCGCTCGCCAGGCAGGTGCTGTGCTGCTGAGCTAAATCCCTGGCTCGAAAATACTCTTACTGCCTAGTAGATTGAGGTATTTTAGTATGAATGTGAAGCTTAGTGTGAATTCAGCGCTAGAGTGAAGATACCAGGGTGTGATTAGCATGGAAAAAGTAATCAAAACACTTTTCAAAGTAGCCAAGCAGTAACCAAGGATTGAACTCAGGCAAGCATTTGTGCCACGGCCCCAAATCCCTGGCCCAGGACCACATTTTCTTCACCCATTTGTCTGTTGAATGTGTGGCAGAGTTATCACCAGGGCTTAGAGATCAGTGAATTGCATTGCTGTAAACATGAGTGTGCATATGTTTTATTCTTTAAGCTACAATACCATAGAGTGTACTATTGGAAAAAGTTTCTGAACGTGATCAAAATTTACTTGAAGAAGAAAGCCTGGATGTACCAATAAACAGAAGAAAACAGAAAATTTACTGGAAACCTAGTTTCAGAACTGAATGAGCACAGATAATTTCTGGATGACTCCTTTCGTAACTTTAGAGAATTAGTCAGACCCAGGGACTTTCAGGCTCAGGGACCTGCGTTTGTTTCTTCTCTGGTGAAGTGGGTATGGTGACCCAATCCCTTAACAGCACAAGACCAGTACAGGACAGTAGATTAAAAATTATTAACCGTTAGCTTTGCACGGTGGCAGTGTTGCAGCCAATGAGGTTTATCCAAGGTGTGATTATTGCTAATTGAAAAATCACTAACTGCTGTAAGCTTGAAATAGTATAGACGTAATGACAACAAAATAATGAGGTAATTAAAAGCCCTGTTATTCTCGGGGACCTTTAACTACATGAGGAGGCAAATCCAGCATAATGAGCTATATTAACATAAACTGGAAGATAGTTAATAATTTGGTAACTCATAAAACAGCTAAAACGATAATCTCAATAAATAATGAAGAATTTGATAAAATTTGACATCTGTTTTTCTTTGTTTATTGGTTGGTTGTAGTTGCTTTTTGTTTTTTTTAGTTTTTTGAGACAGGCTTTTGCTATGCAGTTCAGGCTGAGCATGAACTCATTTTGTAGCCCAGCCTGGCCTTGAACTCGCAGTGATCCTCCTGCCTCAGCCTCCCCAGTGCTGGAATTTCCAAGTCTGTGCCACTGCATCCAGTTGATTGGTTTTTTTTTTGAGACGGGTGTCACTATGTAGTCCTGGCTGGCCTCAAACACATAGTGATCCTTTTGCCTCAGCCTTCCAAGGGTATGTGCTACCATACCTAATTCCATTCTTCATTTTAAAATGCTTGGTCTGGTTGGGTGTGGTGGTGATAGCCTGTAATCCCACCACTTGGGTAGCTGAGGCAAGAGGATCTCTGGGTTTCAAAGTTAATTCAAGGCTAGCCCGAACTGCGTTAACAAAACTTCATCTGTGTAAAGACAGTAAATAAATAAATAATAATAAAATAAAATAAAATAAAATGCTTGGTCTGGGTCAGGATATAGTTCAGAGGTACAGTGCCTGCCTGGCAAGCACAAGGTTGTGAGTTTAATTCCCAGTACCAAAAATAAATAAAAACAAATAAAATGCTTGGCCAAGCTTTAAGTAGGACACTTAGCAATGACAGTGACACAGTCTCCTTTATTATTTAACTTCATTTTTGATGCCTTGGCCAATATAGTGAGATAAATAGAAATGAAAAGTCTCTCTTATATATCCAGGCCAAGATTTTTTGTTATATTGGGACAGTTGGTTAACTCCTTGGAAAAAGATCAAGTAATCTTTGCCTCATGCTAAATATAAATAGATTAAAAATTGTTTAAAAAGTGGGAGAAGCAAGTATAGCTATTTCACCCATTTAAACAGTGCAGGTATGCCTTGCTACCTATGTGCTTGTTTGTAATTGCAAGACACTTGTAAGTTCATGCAACATGTTTAGACATTTGAATGAACTCAGACATATGGATTGGAACATGAAGCATGTGAGGGTGAAACAGAAACAAACTTAGAAAATACTTGCAGCAAATATAACAGAGTGCTTTGCCCTTTCAGCAGCTGTTCATACACACATGTCGGTGAGCAGTAGTAATGTTGCAAAGTGTTGGGAGCTGGATGTGATTGAACTGCACCCAGGAATGAAACAAGAATGACTGTAAATGTGTAAAAACAGTCTTGGCTGTTGAAATCAGTGTGAGGCTATATTTACTTTAACTGTTACTGAGAGTATGCACAGGCTGGGGATTTCGGTTCAGTGGTAAAGCGCTTTTCTAACAAATGTGAGGCCCTCTTTCAGTCTCCTGTACCACAAAGAAACAGGTATGTTCACACTGCTGTGTATCCTGGCTGTTAAGGACCACATGGTTCATTGTATTCCAGTTCAAAACTGAGCACTTCTCAGCTGGAAGTTCACTGGCTCTTCATCGGCAGTGTTGGATCATGGTGTTCCTCTTATAACTATTCCAGACAGCTATGTAGTTGGCTAGGACAATGTTAGTAAGATGGTAGGATCAGTTTTTTACTCTAAAACACTGACAGCTTTTTACCTATTTCTGTAGACTGATTGCAAAGTTCTGTTTTTGTTTTTTTTTTTTAAGCAGAATATATTTATTGAGACAAAGCTTCCATTTGCAAGACAGACAGAAGGGTTCCCAAGTGGATTGCCCACAGTTCTACTTTTGAAGCCGTGATGTCTTGGTTACTTATCTCTGATTGCTGAGACAATTCCTGACACCTAAAATGAAGGAAGGAATGGTTTATTTAGTTCACTGCCTGTGGGAGGGTTCAGCCCATCATCAGCTGGCTCCAAGGCCGGGTGGCAACAGTCATGGTGGCCGAAGAAAACAAAGTAACAAGAGCAAAAGGGAAGAGCACAGCAAAGACTGCCTGTCCTTTATATTGTATGTAGACCACCCAGTCTAGGTTTTGTGTAACACTGACACCCATAATCCCAGCATTGGACCATGAATCAAGGACAAATTCTAGAAGCCTGCCCCCATGACCACATGAGGCTTGGGAGGACATCCAGACACAAACCATAACACATGATGTACATAATTCCCAGCTTAAACTAATGAGTTGAGCTTAATTGTTTTCCTGTAAGATGCTGATTCTTACTGCACTTTCAAGGCTGTTAGTAGAAGATGGTTCTTAGCCTCTTGTGAACCATATCTTAAAAAGGATTTGGTCTGTGCGACTTTAATTCCATTTTAAAAAGCTGAACTACTCCTGGCTTCATAATGCATTGTAAGATTAAGTTTTTCCTCAGGTTTAATATTAATTTTTTAACTAATTTTCTTATAATTGTTACCAGTGAGGTAGCTGTAGAAACAGAAGCTATGACCAGTGAGCATTGCTTTGCCACGTCTGGCCCCGTAATCCAGCAGCTGGAAAAAAGTGAGTTTTAAAAATCAACTTTTTAGCTATATTTTTTACCAACTATCACCTTGGATATTCTATTTTCTGCATTTTTTTAATCTGTAAATTGAATTTTATTAGGTACAATTCTGTTCATGTTTGTCATGGTTTCATCCACAAGAAAGAAAAGTTTCTGGTACATTTGTAATACTGTTCATTTTCAGCATTTTTCAGCTCTTTTCGTACTAACATTTGAATTTAAAACATGTTTGGGGCCAGGGATTTAGCTCAGCAGCACAAGTACCTGCCTGGCAAGCACGAGGTTGTGAGTTCAACCTCCCAGTACCCCTCCCAAAATAATAATGAAACATATGTTTGACCTGGGTGTGGTGGTACACACCTATAGTCCTGGCACACTTGGAGGCTGAGGTAGGAGGATCACAAGTTGGAGCCCAGTTTGAGAAATTTGCTAAGATTCTGTCTCAAATTTAAAAAAAAAAGTTGAGAATGTAGTTAAGAATGCTGAGTTCAGTCCCCAGGGCCTACCCCAGCCCTCCCAACAAAGGAGGGCGCACCTGCTCAGAACCCTCCCAACAAAATGGGGGTGCACTGCTCACAACCCTCCCAACAAAATGGGGGCGCACTGCTCACAAACCTCCCAACAAAGGGGGACGCACCCGCTCTCAACTCTCTCAACAAAGAGGGGCGCACTCGCTCACAGGCTTTGGGTGCAGAGCCACATTACTTTTATTTTAGCCCCTACCAATTGATTAAAGTTGTATGTGTCTTTCTTTTATAGACCACATCTAGACTATGCTGGCTGTCATTTCAAATTGTTAGTTTTCTTAAGCTAATTGGATCACTTAAGGAAAATTTTCATGTACTGTATGTATCACAGCAAACATGAAAACATTCATTTTTTGTGTGTGTGAAAATGTAAAGTTAAAAAAACTTAATCTCTGAATAATTTTTTATAATTATTTGATCTGTACCAAATTTATTAGCAAATGTATTAAAAATGACTTAGTTTATCAGATCTTTCCCAACTTTTGTACAAATTTTCTTTTTGTACTAGTTACACTGACATAAACTGACGTTATTAAATTAATAAGTATTGCTAGTGTGAGCAGGTTACTATAACTTCATAGTAGCTTATAGTGTACATTGGATAAAGAAAGTATGAATACACTACAGCTGATTTGTTTTAAAAGAAATTGGGCTGTCACCTCACACCAGGTTTAACTCCGTTCCCTATGGAGTGTAAACTTTATGGAAATTGGTAAGGGGAAATATTGGTATAACTTGTGAGCCGTGGTGGGCTTTCTCAAGAAGAAGTTTCTCCCGAAACCCCTCAGAGCATCATGGACAGTGCATTCTGTGGAGGGAGAGGGAAGCTTAGGGTCACCTGTTACTGATCTGCTTAGGTGGAAGTTTAAGGGTTATTGGTACATTTTGCTTGGACCCCATTTTTTCCCTACAAGCTACCTGTCTTCCATGTAAATAGTGTGGGCTCATTAAGCACTGGTAATTTGGTCACAGTTTTCTGTCTTCACATTGTTTCTCTTATCTCATCCCTTCCAGGCTGCATTCTTGGTAGATTATACAAATAGCCTTTTTTCCAAGGTGTTGGCATAATCTGTATCCAGTTCTGTGTGAAGCCCTCTTTCTGTCTGTTCTCTGTTTTTCTTTGCCACAGCACTGAGACTAAGGCCAGGGCTCGGTGCTCCGCACAGGGCTGGCTTGATTGTGTGAGTTGTGACCACTAGATGGGGTCGTTTTCTCCACTCCTCTGTACTTGAGTTTTCTGGAGATTGACTTGGCTGTTTAAGACATTATTATTCCATTGTGTTGCATGTCTGTTCCTGCTGATGGGCACAGTGTTACTGACCTGATTAGCTTTCCTTCGCAGGTAGTGTGTCTTACTTTCTGGTAGTCTCTAACATGTTTACTTGACCTTTTATAAGGTCTAAAATGTATCTACATTTATTTGTTTTTATAGTGTTAGAATTCAGTAGACTTTTAAAAACAAATTCATGCCATTAATTCTGAAAAGTACCATAACATTGTTTCTTTAATGATGTTAGCTTTCTTACAGTTTCTCAATTTTTCTTCTGAAATTCCTTTAAAATGTATTTCAGTTTATTTTTTGTCTTCCTGTCTTCCTTCCTTTCTTTCTTTGCCTTTTGAGACTAGGTCTCCCTGTGTAATTCAGCTTGGCTTTGCACTTGCTATGTAGTCTAGGCTGCTCTTCACCTCTCAGCAGTCCTCCTGCCTCAGCCGTGGTGCTGGGAGGGCCCCCGCCCCTGGCTTAAGGTGTGTTTTAGAGTTTATTATTGTATTCTCTCAGCCTAACTTCCCTTTTGTACTTTCCCTGCCCTTTCTCTGTGCTGTTTGGTGCTTCACTTAGGTCCTTTTCCCAGTACACTGTTGTCTCTCACACTATTATTTTATTCCGTCTATTTTGTCCTATTTCGTAAGCATTTTCTCTCAGTCATGGAGAGCTGAGGGACCCGAGGAGCTGTAGGCCTGTGCGCTCTGCCTGTCTCTTGCACAGCGACTCTGGGGCCTCCACTCACCCGCATGCTTTGCACCCCTGCACACAGCATGTGCCAAGCACTGGCATTCCTGTGTGACGGGCTTACCTCCTCTCTCCATGGCTCGGTTCTCTGTATACTTTGCGCCTGTAGCTATGAATTCATCCTCAGAATTTGTTCCCAGTGGTGTCTTCCACACTGGACTGTGAGGCGGCCTCCGTTTCACTGCTTCTGTCCCAACCAATCCCCATGGGACACATAGCCACCCCGTTGGCGACTTTGTGGACTAGACCTGTGCGTGAAGACCGTGCTGGACCCTTGTGGTGATCTCGTCCTGACCCTGCGCTGCGGCAACTCACTGTGCTCACTTCAGGTTCTTGGGTGCTGCCCCAGCACCTGCTCCTGAGGCCAGTGGCCCCCACAGTGCTCCCAGCTCACAGCCTGTGCCGGGCTTCAGGCTCCGCACCTCCAGACCTGGGCCTTCACTCTCTGCGCTTGTGTTAGAACTCCAGGGTTTAGGTGCATGCTTGGAAATCAGAGCCACGCTGGCTTAGCATCACGCCGAGTCTGCTTCAGGTTTTTCTGCATCCAGCTAAACACCTGCCCTTTGCTCTTCCTTTCCTTTTGAAACGAGCTCTCTGCGGTACCCGTATTTTAAATTTCGCAGCGCCCTGTTCAGTTCTGCTTGTTCTTGCTTCTTTTCACCCACGATTTCTTTCCTGTATTTATGCATATAAATCCTGTTTATCCCTAGAAATTAGCAAGTAGTATTCCATTATATAAATAAGCTCCATCACATCCATTTGCTTATGAAGAACTAGTTCTTCTGTGTTTTATTATGGTATCAGTGCTCTCGTGAGATTCCTTCTGTGTGTTTCTTACACTGAGAAATAGAATACCCAGGTCAGTGGTGGTGAACCTATGGCCCAGGTGTTGTTTCTTTCAAGACAAAAGATGTTTCGGTAGGAATTATTTTTTCTGACCTAAAACCTTATATTTAGGTTTAATTGCAGTGCTGGCACTTCAAAATAAACCTTTTTTATTTATCTATTTGGTACCAGGGGTCGAACTCATGACCTGATGCTTGCCAGGCAGGTGCTTATGCTGCTGAGCTAAATCCCTGGCCCTTGAAATAAATAAATAGGTTTTGGTTACAGTTTGGGCACTGGTCACTGAAAAATTCGCCATCACTGCTGTAGGGCAAAAATACTCATAGCTTTACTTGTCCTGGACAATGCCTAATTGTTGCCTACGAGTGACTTTTGTGAGTTAGTCTTGGTGATAGCATTTGAGTTCCTGTTTTTCCATCTTTTCCAACACTTAGTAATGTTTTTGTTTTGTTTTTTTGAGATGAGATCTCGTTTGGTAGTGTAGATTGGCCTTAAACTCACTTATTTAACCTAAACTGGCCTCAAACTCACAATGATCCTTCTGCCTCAGTCTCCTAAGTGCTGGGATTACAGGAGTGTGCCAGCATATCCAATTTAGATCTTTATTTTTAGATTTAACACATTTTGCCCAGTAGATTTTTTTACTATATTTACTTTTTCTCTTTGATGTTTTTTTCTAAAAGCTAGTTTTACATTAAATACATTACATAGGTTGGGAATGGTGGTGCGCACCTGTAATCCCAGCACTAGGGAGGCTGAGGCAAGAGGATGGCTGGGAGTTCAAGGCCAGCCTAGCGTACACAGTGAGTTGAAGGCCAGCCTGAACCTCAGAGGGAGACCCTATCTCCAAAAAACAAACCAACAAAAAAACCCCATAACATCAAAAGTGTAAAGAAGAAAAGAAGCCAAAGCCTGTTTACTTCACATGCCTTGGGCAGCTGTTGCTAGTGAGCCGTGAACTCTGTAGCTGGCTCTAGGACTGGCCACATCTACGTGGTGTTTGTTTCCCAGGCAGAGGGTTAACGTGTGAGGCCAGCTCCTGCTTCCTCAGTTGGGATGTCAAGTCAGAGGCCAGCGAGGAAGCCCGATGTCATGTCACCTCACCGAGGGTGGACTCCAGCGGGGCCATCAGGACCCAAGGCTCCCGCTGGTGGTGCGGCCGCCGCTGCCTCACCTGCCCTCTGGATTTAGTGGTATCGTTCAGGTGGTACTGTTCTCTTAGGGCAGGGGATTGTGCAGGGGGCGAGCCCAGGAGCTTTTGATGAGACACAGCTGTCTGCCTTGGGACTCTGGGCTTGGCTGAAACATCCCCTTGTTTGCTTCAGGCTGGACCCTGGCAGGTGCCTGCTCCTGGACCTTTGTTTGAATGAGGGAGTTCAAGACCAGATAGCATACCTCTTTTCAGTTCACTGCATGAAATTGCTTCACAAGCATGAGGTTTTAAAGTTTGACAAAGGAAGAAGGAAACTCTGCTCACAGCAGGGGATCCTCACTTAAGCATTCCTGAGCCCAGGCACTTAAAACCCATGCACCTCAAGCCGATTTCCATAGCCAGTCCTGCCTGCCAGGGACTGACCAGTCCTTGCACTGGTCACCCTGGAGCTGGACCAGGTCTCCAGGTTCTGGATGCTTGAGTACAGTCCGCTGCAGGCAGACTTCTGAAATGTATTCACCAGTTTCTGTCATAGTCATCTGTGATCCTTGGACAGTAGGAGGGTCTTCCCGTGCTTCTCAGTTGAATTCTTTCTCTTTTCTTTCTCTTTTTGTCTTTGAGACAGGGTTTCACTCTGCAGTTCAGGCTGGCATTGAAATCATTTTGTAGCCCAGGCTAGCCTCGAACTCGCAGCAATCCCCCTGCCTCAGCCTTCCGAGTGCTGGGATTACAGGCAGGCGCCACCACGCCTGGCTCTTGGTTGAATTCTTATGTGCCAACAGGAAGCAGCAGTTCATCACCTTTACGGTGTCATAAAGGGGGCAAAAGAGTCAGGGGTCTAGAGAGAGGACACACATTTCCTTATCCTGGGTGGAAATGGCTTTGCTGTGGAAGATGCCGTTGGAGACGATGGGGGAGAAGGGAGAGGTGGTAGCCCAGAAAGGGCCCTAGTCTTGAGCTCACAGTGTTCCTCCTGCCTCAGCTGGGCAGTGCTGGGATTACAGTGTGCAACATCACACCTGGCAATAGTTATTTTTCTATGCTTGTCCCTGTGAACATTTTTTAAAATTACTATAGTTTTAGAGTAAGTTGTGGTATCTTAGCAAGTGAATGGTGCTCCCTTTTTTCTATTAAGGTTTTACATGATTTTCAATAGATTTATATATAGGTATCTTTCTTGCTACTGTGAAACTTTTCCAGGTACAGTGTTTTTTTAAGAACTTATTGCCCATTTGTATAATATGCATTAAAAGAACCACTCAGGTGTTTATGAACAGCTCTTGTATCTTGCTGAACTTTTAATGCTAATGATAAATACCATCTGTGAACAAGGTTTTTTTTTAAGCTTTTTGTTTGTTTGGTGTCTTACTGAGATTAAATCCCCCCAGCACCTTTGCACTGACCTATATCCCCAACCCTTCTTAGCTTTTGAGACAGGGACCTGCCCAGGCTGGCCTCCAACCTGTGATTGTCCCCTCAAGTATCTGGGATTACAGGCGTGTACTACCACATCCAGCTGTTTTTTAAGCTATTCATAAGTGCATAGATTATGTGGACAACTCCTATAAATTGAGATTTTTATTTTGACTTGATTTTTAAACCTGTGTTCATTCTCATTTTGTCTTCCAGATACCAGCTATACAGATTCCCCTTTGGCACCTATGTTCTGCACTCCTGGTTTGAAAATTCCTTCCACAAAGAATAACACAGCTTTGGTAAATTTCTCTAAAGCTGAAAACTCTATAATCTTCTAGTGACCCAAATACTAGTTCCAGGCACATGTATTTTAAATACATGTGTTTCTAATTAATAGAAACACACCAAAGTTTGGGTGATTTAATACTTTTTGTTTGCTCTAAATAATAATCAATCTTAACACTTAACACTTAACAATCAAATCTTAACACTTTTTAGAGTCAGTAGGAACACTTAAAGCAACCAGTACTGTAAATAGCCGGTACTTTATGGGGTATCCAGTAGAACTGTAGATAAAGATTGAAAATGTTTTGCAATCTGCAGTGTTCAGTATGTTCACTAAATACATATCGTTAGTCACTGAGCACCTAACATGCAGCTCGTGAGCTGAGGAACTAGTTCTTAATTTCTCACTAAGAAACTCCCCAAGCAGTCTGCTGTGGTCTGTGAGTGGTACTGTAGAGCAGTCAGCACAGCGCTGGATGAACAGTGCTGCCTCTCAGTTGCTGGGTCAGGTTAGTTAGTGACCTGTTGGTTGGATCTTTTTCACAGTTAATTTACTTCTGCGGTTTCATTCCTGCTGAAGACATTGTATTGAGGAGATACTCCCAAGCTGTCTCCTTGTAAATAACCCTGATACTAGAGATACAAAAGTGACTTCCCTGGGTGCCGGCCTACCATGGACACACTGCATGCACACAGCTGAGGGCCTGTGTGGACCTTTGGTCACGTGTGCTGGAGTCTCCTCTGGCCCAGTTTGGTGCTGTGTGAGACAGTTTGGGAGAGGTCTTTTCGATCAGGGTGGGGCAACATTCCACTCATTTTCACCTGAAGCCTTTATTAGTAAAACAGATATTTTGTCTTCTACTTACCATTTCTTTGTATTTCTAGGTTTTGTGTAGAATTGGCTAGGGCATAAGGAATCATGCTGGGGCTGGGAGACAGTTTTTATTTACTATCATAATTAATCATTTCTTTTTATCATAGATATACACAGATTGTGCATCATTAGAAGCACACGCTTCTTCAGATGATCTTGGAGTTAAAGATCACACTTCCCTAGTTTTGCCTCCGGACCAGTGCTTGCAGAGTTTTGCAGACCCTTCCTCTCCTACCATTTCGTCCTATGAGAACCTGCTCAGAACGCCGACACCTCCCGAAGTCACTGCTATCCCAGAGGACATTCTCCAGGTAGTATTTCCAGGAGGATTTTCTTTCCTGATGGTTTCCAAATTGATACTCAAGACCTAAAATCGTATAAAAAATACCGTATTTATCATCAGGCCAATGTATTCGTTTTGGTATTGAGGAAATACAAAAATTCTAGGCTGATAGGCCCTTCTGCGACCACCAGGCTAAACATCTTCCAAGCTGCATGCAAACCAGTGATCCGCTGTGTTTTTAGCGACCCTAATATTTTTTTTTTTTAATCGGTACCGGGAATTGAACTCACGACTGCACACTTGCAAGGCAGGCACTTATGCCACTGAGCTAAATCCCCAGCCCCTGACACTAGCATTTTTAATAACTGTCCTAGAAATAGTCCTGGCTTACAAAGCATCATGTGAAGGACAGGTTACTTGGAAATATACCTAAAATGCCAGTAGAAGTGGCTCATCCTCTGATACAGAAATAACTGCTAACCTGGTGTTTTCTTTTACTTTGGGTTGTTGTTTTTGTTTTTTTGCTTTCCTGGAAGATATAATAAACTGGGTAAGGAAGAAACATCTTCTTCATGGTTGATTCTTCTCCCAGTCCTTTGTGAAAGGAATGAAACCTTAAAATATATCAGTTGTTTATGCCTGGAAAGAATTGGTGATGTTTTAGATTCTTTTGTACTCATTATAGGTGATGATGGTCTTTCTTGTAAAGATTCATTTCAGATTTTTCTCTCTATATTTCCCTAACATTTTTTAAAAGCTTAATTTGGTCTTGAGTGTATCAGTGCTTTGTTTCTATTAACCTAAGTGTATTTTGGAAGTTCAAACCTTCACGTCCAAGTTAAATTTCTAGTAGTTGCATATTATATTGCTGTTGAATGTATATACTGCTAAAAATGAGAACTTTTATCTTTACATTTCAGTGGCTTTCCTTGAGTGTTTTGTCATACCATCTAGACTTTCGGCACTTACACAACTTAATACACGGACTTTATTTTTATTTCAGATTTTGTCAAAATACAACTCCAACCTAGCTACTCCAGTAGCAGTGAAAGCAGTTCCTCCAAGGAAAAGGCTCCCCAAACCCAAAGGATGGAACATCCGAGAGATTGGCAACAAGGAAAACTGGTGAAAGGGAGTGCGCTGCCATCTACAGAAAGGACGTGTGTTATGATCAGACATTAAAGTGAACACTAGTAAAACAAACTTGTAATTGACATGCACCAGCTTACTTAACAGCCTGTTTTTATCCTTTTTTTTAATGAAAATAAATAAAAATTAAAAAATAAAAGGAAGGACATTGAGATAAAAGAGGACATAACACAACAGCACAGGTCAGAACATAACAATTCAAGTAACATAGTGTTTCACAAGATAACCCGACTTAATAGTAGATACCATAGTGTCTCTTGCCTTGAAATGTTTGAGTAAAACTTCGTATACTATAGCATCAAACATATCAAGACAGTGTAAAACCATTCAAGAGAATGAAAGTATTACAGGGTATTTAGAATCAACTAACAGAAAATGAACAATGGTTTCTATATTATCTCCTTGTCTATAAAAATTTTGTTTATACTATCACATATAATAAAATCCAATAAGATACAACATGATAAAACCAATGGAGACAGAAGAACAAAAGCTTGATGGGACTTCAAAACAAGATGCTATTAAATCAGCACTAGCTGTTATGATGTCTTGTTTTCTTCAAAATAGCTATTCATACCATCACAGATAATAAAATCAAACAACCCAGAATAAAACCATTTCAATTAATGAAAACATTGTAAGGCTTCAAAGCAATATAATGGGGAATCGTGATCACCACGTACTTTTATGTATTCTTATCATTTCTTACACTAGGGACACTATTCAGTATTTATACATGTGAGTTTAATTTATTTTGCTTATGAGTATAGTCTTAAACTGTGCCCATTTATTTATAAATATCTCAATGTGATCATTCTTTATAGCTGAGTAGTACTCCATTGTATAAAAATACCCCAACATTTTTATCCATTCCTCAGTTGATGGACACTTAGGTTGTTCCCAAGATCTGGCTATTACAAATTGTGCTGCTGTAAACATGGGTGCACATATATCAAAGTGGTATGATGTTTTCAGTTCTGGGAATATGCCTAGAAGTGGAAGAGCTGGAACAAATGGGACTTCCAATCCCAGCTTTTTGAGACATCTCCAGACTGACCTCCACCATGGCTGTAGCAGTCTACCCTCCCACCAGCAGTGCAGGAGAGTTCTTTTTTCCCCACAGCCTCTCCAGCATTTGTTGTTTGTGGTTTTTTGATCCTTGCCATTCTTTCAGGAGTAAGGTGGAATCTCAGTGTGGTTTTAATTTGCATTTCTCTAATGATCAATGATGATGAACATTTTTTTCATGTATTTATTTGCCATTTGTATTTCTTCATCTGAGAACTGTGTATTCATCTCAGATCCCATTTTTGGATTGGATCTTTGAATTTTCGGGGTCTGATTTTTTAAAATTCTTTATATGTTTTAGATAGAAGTCCTCTGTCTGAGGGACAGTTCTCTTAAGATTTTTTCCCAGTTTGTGAGTTTGCTTTTCACTGTGCTGGAGATTTCTTTTGACGTGCAGAAACATTTTAATAAGAAGCGATCCCAGTTATTGATTCTGGAAAGTATTTCCCATGCGGTTTGAGTCCTGTTCATGAATTCTCTACCTACTCCTATGTCTTCAAGGTTTTTACCCAATTTGTCTTCCAATAGATTTAGTGTTTCTGTTTTAATATTCAGATCTTTGATCTACTTAGATTTTAATTTAGTACATGGTGACAGGCTTGGGTCTAGTTTTTTGGCATATGGAGAGCCAGTTTTTCCAACACCATTTATTAAAGAGTCTGTCCTTCCAGTGAACATGTTTGGCTCCTTTACCAAAGATAAGGTGGTTGAGTGTGTTTGTAGTTGTGGTTGTATCTTCTAATCTATTCCATTGATCTTCAGCTCTGTTTTTATTCCAGTACCATGTTGATTTTACTACAGTTGCTTTGTAGTATAACTTCAAGTCAGGGATTGTGATGCCTCCTGCCTTGCCTTTGCTGCTTAGAACTGTCTTTGTTATTCTAGGTCTCTTCTCGCTCCAGATGAATTTTAGGAGTGATTTCTCTAGATCTATGAGGTATGTTGGTGGTATTTTTATTGGGATTGCATTGAATCTGTATAACAGTTTTGGGAGAATGGCCATTTTCACAATATTTATTCTTCCTATCCATGAGCAAAGGATGTCTTTCCATTTTCTGAGATCATCTTCAATTTCTTTTTTCAGTGTATTATAATTTTCCCTGTGTAGTTCTTTCACTTCTTTCATGAGAGTAATTCCTAAATATTTCATTTTTTTGGTTGCTAGTGTGAAGAGTGTGGCTTCTCTTATTTCTGTAAGTGACTTTGTTGTTAGTGTATAGGAATGCTATTGATTTTTGAGTATTGATTTTGTATCCAGCTACATTGCTGAATTTATTTATTATATATAGGAGTCTTTCAATGGAGCTTTGGGGATCCTGTATGTAGAGTATCATGTCATCTCCAAATAATAATTTAACTTCTTCTTTTCCTATCTTTACCCCTTTTATTTCTCTCTCTTGTCTAATTCCTCTGGCTAGTATTTCCAGTACTATATTAAATAGGAGTGTTGATAAAGGACATCCTTGTCTTGTGCCTGATTTTAAAGTAAAGGCCTTCAATTTTTGGCCATTTAGTATGATATTGGCTGTTGGTTTGTCATAGATGGCCTTTATTATATTGAGGTAAAGACCATCTATTCCAATTTTCTGTAAGGTTCTTATCATGAATGAACGTTGGACCTTATCAAAAGCTTTTTCTGCATCTATAGAAATGATCATGTAATTCTTACTTTTGGCTTTATTGATATGGTAGATTACATTTATTGATTGACGTATGTTGAACCATCCCTGCGTGCCTGGGATGAATCTCACTTGGTCATGGTGTATGATCTTCTTGATGATTTGCTGCATCCTATTTGCCAATATTTTATTGAGGATTTTTGCATCTGTGTTCATTAGTGAGATTGTCCTATAGTTCTCTGTTTTAGTTGGGTCTTTCTCAGGTTTTGGTACTAGAATAATATTTGCTTCCAGGAATGACTTAGGAAGGATTGCTTCCCTTTCGATTTCATTGAAGAGTTTGAGGAGTGTTGGCCTTAGGTCTTCTTTGTACTTCTTGTAGAATTCTGCAGTGAATCCGTAGAATTCTGCAGTGAATCGGTCTGGGCCTGGGCTCTTCTTTGTAGGTAAGGACTTAATTACATTTTCAATTTCATTAATAGAAATTGGGTTATCAGCAGTTTTACATCTTCTTGACCTATCTTCGGTACTTCATATGTTTCTAGGAATGTGTCTATTTCTTCTGTGTTATCAAACCTATGAGAGGGGCTGGGGATTTAGCTCAGTGGCATAAGTGCCTGCCTTGCAAGCAGGCAGTCGTGAGCTCGATCCCTGCTACTGATAAAAAAGAAAAAGACAAAAAAAAAAAAAAAACCTATGAGAGTAGAGGTTTTCAAAATAGGTGTTGATGATCTTCTGTATTCCTACAAAGTCTGTAGTGATTTCACCTTTTTCATTCCTTATTGCATGAATCTGAGCTTTTTCTTCCCTTTTTTTAATAAGGTTGGCTAGGGGCTTATCAGTTTTATTTATTCTGTCAAAGAATCAACTCTTTGATTCATTGATTCTTTGGACTGTTTTCTTAGTTTCTATTGCATTAATTTTTGCTCTGATTTTTGTCATTTTCTCCCTTCTTTTGGCTTTGGGCTTGACTTGCTCTTCTTTTTCAAGATGTTTGAGGTGTAATATCAGGTTATGTGTTTTTGTTCTGTTTTCCTGATGTGGGACCTCAGTGCAATAAATTTTCCTCTGAGGACAGCTCTCATTGCATTCCACAGATTCCAGTAAGTTTTATTTGTGTTTTCGTTTGCTTGTAGGTATTGTTTAATTTCTTCTTTAATTTCCCCTGTGACCCACTGATTGTTCAAGGGTGTATTATTCAATTTCCCTGTGTTTGTGGGGTTTTTGCAGTTTCTTTTATCATTAATTTCTAGTTTCGTGTCACTATGATCTGATAACATGCATGGGATAATTTCAACTCTTTTGCATTCATTTAAATATGTTTTGTGGTTTAGTATGTGGTCTATTTTAGAGAATGTCCCATGTACTGCTGAGAAGAATATATCCTGATGTTGTTGGATGGAACACTGTATATGCCTATCAAGTCCATTTGTTCACAGGTGTGATTCAGTTCTGTTATTTCTTTGCTGATTTTCTGTCTGGTTGATCTGTCCCTTGGTGTCAATGGTGTGTTAAGGTCTCCTGTTATAATTGTGTTATTGCTAATTTGATTTTTCATTTCTATTATTACTTGCTTTGTATAACTGGGTGCTCTGGAGTTTGGTGCATATATACTTAAGATTGTTACCTCTTCCTCTTGAAGTTTTCCCCTAAGCAGTATGTAGTGACATTCTTTATCTCTTAGGATCATTCTTGGTTTGAAGTTCACATTGTTTGCAAAGAGAATAGCCACTCCTGCTTTTTTTTCAGTTCCTGTTGCACGAAGTATTGTTTTCCAACCTTTGACTTTCAGTCTATGCATTTCCTTTTAGGATAGATGGGTTTCTTTTAGACAGCATATGGTTGGATGTTGTTTCTTGATCCATTCTTTTAATTGGTGCATTGAGACCATTTACATTAAGGGTTATAACTGTTATATACTCATTTATTGTTGACATGTTATCTTTCTGCTGTTGCATCTTTGTCTTTCCATTCTGTTTAATTGTCTGCCTTGCTTAGTGTTTTTTTCCTATGTGTATCTAAACTGTCTTTCAGTATTCTTTGCAGGGTTGGCTTGGTGTTCATGAAGTTCTTCAGCTGTTCTTTGGCATGGAAGTATCTTATTTCTCCATCCATTTTGAAGGACAGTTTTGCAGGATACATCAGTCTAGGTTGGAAATCATTTTCTTTTAGGATCTGAAATACTTCATTCCATGTTTATTGTTTGTGCTGAGAAGTCTGCTGTGATTCTGGTGGGTTTGCCTTTATAGGTGATCTGTCTTCTCTCTGACAGGTTTTAATATTCTATTCTTATGTTGGATTTCTGGGATGGTGATTATTATATGTCTGGGTGTAGTTTTACTTTGGTTATGGCTATTTGGAGTTCTGTATGCTTCACTGATCCTGATGTCAGTTTCCAATCTCATGTTTGGAAAATTTTCAGCTATTACTTCTCTAAATATTCTCTTGACAT